AATCCATATATATCTACGAAACAAAAAGGTGATAAATGACAGTGACCAGTTTTATTTATATGTATGCGTTATGTGCCTTGAATATTCCCTAATGATGATCTCTGCCAGACTGCCACACAATTGGGTTGGCTCCATAATATCTGATTTCCTGAAGTACCACCGCATCATTATTTATTCTATGTACTACAGGTTTGAGGTAGAACGTTTAGGTCATGAAATAGTTTTTAGGTGTAAAAACAATAATAGTTAGCACAATTATACAAAACTAAAAGATCAATTTAGGTGTGGTTTGAGAAGCCTATAGTTGCAGTTTAGATGTGGTAGCATATTCATGGCCTAGAATATAATTTACCACATTTTTAGCAATTATAAATATAGATAAACATGTGTCAACACAGAATCAAAAGGTTCATCTCTCTAAGTATACTTTTTTTTGGAAATTCAGGATGGGGGAGGGGGGAATTTATGTAGTGCAAACTACATATTAGGTGTAAATATACAAACCATTTAAAAAAAGCATACAACGAGTATTGAATTTTTTTTTGAAACTTCGTATGTCCATAGTGCATTCATATATGTACTCACATCCATGTAAAAGTTGAGATGTAAAACCAAAACTAGAGAAGTTTATAAAAATGACAAATTTTACATGCATATGAAGGCAAACACAAGCATTTGTTGCAAGCCCAATAGGATGACTCACATCCTAGGCACACAAAGAATAGAACAAAAGGAAAAAAAAGGATAGACAAAGAACAAAGGAATAAAATTACATCCTTCAGTTAATGCATATTTAGTTTTGTCCTAAGTTGGACTATTTTGCGTTCCATTAAGTTTGTAAGAAAATATCATATTTGTAATGCCAAATACATTAAAAAAGAGTAAATTATGATTTGCCATGGACTTGTCGCTGAATTTTTAAAACATCCTTAACTCGAATACCACACAAACTTACCTCATTTACTTTCAAAATCGAGCAAACTACCTCCCCTCCCCCTAAAATAGTTCATACTTCATAGTGGTTTTGATGGATGTTTTGGCTGATGTGGCATGTGGGCTCCATGTACATGTTTTTAGTTTTGTTTATCATGCCATTTTTAATGAATATTTGGGATACTAAATGATCTCAAATGAAAATGATGTGAAATAGAAAGCCTTGGATCTCTTCAAGCACTATAAATTTAATATAGAACGTGTCTCCATTTGAAACAATTTAAAAAAATACTAAAAAAATCATAATCATAGAACTTAAAACAAATATTTGGGCCTCTAAACTATCTTAAATAAAAAAGTTTTCAACCATAAAATTATAGATTACATTGAGATCTATAACTTGAGTTTAGACCATGTTAATGTTTGAGGTCGTTGCAAAATTTAAAAAAATGAATTTTAAAATATGATAAATAAAACAAATATTTGCGTCTCTAAATGATCTCAAATAAAAATGTTTTCAACTATAAAGTTGTAGATCACATTTATAGCTGCAACTTTGGTATAGACCATCTGACCATGTCAACATCCAAGGTCTTTTGGAAAAATAAAAAAAGAATTTCAAAACCTGAGAACTTAAATGAATATTTGGGCCTTTAAACGATCTCAGGTAAGAAATTCAATAACAAAGTTGTAGATCTCATTGAAAGACACAAGTTTGGTATAGACCATGTCAACGTCCCAGATCATTTCACAATTTTGAAAAGTTTAATTTCAAAATTTGATAACTTAAAACGAAGGTTTGAGCATCTAAAAATTTTGAAATAAAAAAAACTTATCAACTAGAAAATTATAGATCACATCGAGCTCTACAGTTTTTATATAAAGTTTATATTCATTCGAATTCGTATTAAAAAATTATGACCTTTTGATATAAGAGAAAGAGAGACCACCGGACATGTGGGCACACCGCCACATCAGCAAAGCCACTCAAGAAATCACTTTAAAATGTCAAGAGGGTATTTATATATCTAGTTTAAAAGTTAAGGTGTGTATGTTGTTTGGTGTTGAAGTATAACACCCCGCGTCCAAAGTCTTCTTATGTGGCCTAGCTCCGCACGTGGAACGGGCCTGCATACGCGTAACACCTCTGTTACACTTTTGTTCTCGCTTCGTGTAAAAAGGTTAATCCGGGGTGGTGCTATAGGTTTGGAATCACAAGGGTTATAAGCTAGCCCTCTCCCTTCTAAACTTCCAAGGTGGTACTAAATCCACCAACTACAACTCCTAATATGCCACATGGGCCAACAACACACAACTACTGCATGTTTCCAACGAGCTGGGGTGTTATATGAAGTTCATATGGGTGTTAATTTGGTGTATTTTACTTTTAAAAATTAATATGCTTTTATAGTACACATATTTGATGTTATAAATGTTAATACTTTTCTCTAGACATTTTGTTAAATTAAAACATTTTGTCTTTGAACAGAGGTAGAAATGAACTTATTTAAAGGGAGTAAACAATACTACAATGGACTATTTTTTCAATTCATATCTTGACTATTTATTAGGGTTTTCACTCAAAACACACGGAGAAAGTAGCAAATTAGATGAGCGCGACAATAGACAGGACATGTAACAAGTGAGAACTTATAACAACAATTGATAGGACATGCAACACAAGACAATTCGAAATGCGGAGTGGTGTATGGCAAATACTAGCCGACTAGTGTGATGATATTTGAACGGCGATAACAAATTTCCGTCAATAAATTCCAATGCTCCTTTCAAAACTAAATTCCAATGCTCCTTTCAAAACTGAATTCCAATGCTGGTGGTAATACATATTATTTGAGAGGCACGCCTGGATACACTATCCAGTTCGTTCCCCGACAAGAATCTGGTTTACAAAAGATGGTAGTAACTCATAAGCAATCAAAAAATACATGGCGTTTGCCTTATACAAACTGAGTAAGTAGTATGAACCTTCCTGCCCGTGACTCTCACTCACACAGCTAACCAGATGACGACTCAACCCGGAAAAGCACACCGCTAATAAATGAAAGCATCTCATAACACCAACCCCAGCACAAGCAAAACATGATTAAGATATCCTATGCAAATTAGAGAGCACGCAATCCTTGTTCCAAGATGGCCGGGCCCAATCAATCACGGCCGTTGATGGCGACCTGCAGGGCAGCAATTCCTCTTGTCGTCTCGTCTAGCACCTGGGGAGATCAGACGGCGGAGGCAGCAGCTTCTCGTTGGGGCGGTCTCCATCCAGCACCAGCCATGCCATTTTCAGGCCCCAGCTGACGTGAACCTCCAAGTGGCAATGCATGAACCATACCCCTGCACACGTGCAACAGATCAACACGCACACGCGGTCAAGATTAATTCTCCACGAAGCTTGGGTTATCCCTAACCAAAGTAACCTTGAATTTCCCTGCTTGCTCATCAGATCGTTGCTGATCTGTTGCAGTTAGTATGATTAATCTTAACAAAGTCGACCTCACCTGGATTGTCTGCGCGGAACCGGATGGCCACCCACCCGGCCGCCGGCACGCTGACGGTGTTCCGCTCGACGGGGTCGACGAGGTTGTACTTGGCGGGGTCCTTGACGGGGTCGAAGTTGCCGAACCCTTGGCCGACCACGAAGAAGTTGAAGCCGTGGAGGTGCAGCGGGTGGCTCTCGGCGCCGAGGATGCTGGTGCCCTGCATCACCAGCTCCACGCTGGTGCCGTACGGCAGCACAACCAGCTTGGTGCCGTTGACCACGTTGGTGTTGTTGGGCGGCGTTCCCGTGTAGTTGAACGGGACCAGCGGCGCGGCCGGGAAGTTGGACGAGTACACCCCCTTGGACTTGCCGGCGAAGTGCGACTGCAGCAGCGCCGTCGTGGGGAGCACGAAGGAGACGTTGTTCACGGACGCCGCGAACCGGCTGCTGTTGGTGGGGCCCTGGCACGTCCCGTTCACGGCGCACGGGTGCGTGCCCAGCCCGACCGTGAAGAAGAACCGCCGGTCCACCTCCTGCGGCACGGCCGCCGGTTACTCCGCGGTGGCCAGGCTGCGGAGCTTGGCCGTGTAGTTGGCGACGAAGCTCGTGTCGTTGATCTGCGGCAGGGTCGGCTTCAAGACCGGGAGGTTCTTGTTGAAGGCCGCGCGTGGGGGAGGGGACGTGGGGTCCTCGTACTCGAGGATGCCGGCCACGGTGGTGTTGTCGAAGGTGCCCGGCCTGGCGGTGGAGTAGGGCGCGGCCAGCATGTAGTAGGTGGCGCCGGGGTAGGACGGCTTGGTGGTGAGGAGCACGTTGGTGGTCTGCCCAGGGGTGATGATGATGGTCTCCAAGGTGATGGGCTTGATGTAGACTGCGTCGACGTCGACGGTGAGCGGGTGACCGGCGATGGAGAAGAAGAGCTCGTCATTGAGCGCAGCGTTGATGATGCGGAGCATGTATGTCTTCCCGGGCTTCACCTTCAGCTTGAACGTGTCTGCATCATCATAAGTATATACTAATATGAGTTAGTACTTGATAAGAAATGTAAACCGGCCGGCCGTTAGCTCATCAACTAGTAGTATATGCATGTTTGTTGGTGTAGTCGTCGCATGCATGCATCCAAAAGGCTGGGCATGCATGCATCTAACCTTTTGCAGAGCAGTTGTAGAGCGGCCCAGGCAGCCCGTTGATGGTGAAGGAGTCGGAGACGTTGGGGCCTCCGCCGGTCTGGAGCGCCTGGCTGATCACCGCCTCCGTGTCCGCCGTCCACCACTCACAGAAGATGACGGGGACCTCCTTGTAGGGCGCCGGGAACGGGTAAGGGACGCCGAGCTTGGGCAGGATGACGATGGCGCCGTAGACGGTGGCGCGCAGGCAGGAGATGTGCCGCGCTGCCCCGTGATGGTGAACTTGTACACGTAGCTCTGCCCGCTCTGGATCGGGCACTGCGTGATGTACGCCGGCCCGTCCGCCCACCCGTCCGCAGCTGCCGGATGCCGTGCCTGCACGCGCGCGCGCCGGTGATCAGTCGCCCGCCAGTGACACAGTCAATGCATGCAGTGCACGTTACCAGTGGATGCTCATGTTGTAGGGGACGTGGTTGACGACGCGGATGACGACGAAGTCGCCCTCCCTCGCGAACACCGTCGGCCCCGGGGCCGGGAACTGACCGTTCACCGTCACGATGCTCTTGCTGCTGCACAGCCGCGTCACATTCGTCATTTGCACCTGCATGCATTATCGTCACAACGTTTACTAGATGCATTGCTAAGATTGCAACTGCATGTAACTAACGCTACTAATGAGCTACTAGTCATTGATGGAGGAGGCATATGCTCTGGTTGTTGCGCGCGCGCGCGCACACACACACACATGCAGACATGCATGCTTACATCGAACTGGTACTCCCTGATGGCCCCCTCCGTAACGTCGACGGAGAAGAAGAGCACGAGCACAGTGATGACGACATAGCAAGGCAGCAGATAGGAGGTAGCCATTGTTGCTGTTCCGATCCTACAGTGAAGCAAGCTAAGAACAAGTGCAGGCATGAGATGATTAGCCTGTACGCTTCTGGAACTTTTTGGCTATGCATGCGCGTAGTTCAAATGTTTGTGCTGAGTTCAGTACTGTATGCATGCTTTGTTTGGTGCAGGGTTGGTTATTGATCCAGCACGAGGTCGCCTCAAGGCAACACTGCTGCCGGCGGGGCCCTTGCAGAACACGGCTGCTAGCTGCTATAGTGTAGTAGCTTCGGAGTGTAGCTAAAGTCAACCGCTCGTCTGTTTATATGTCACATTATTGACCACCCTCTTACATAGCCTTTTTCCTGACTTAGTTAACACGCCGAATGTACTACGCGTACGTACACCATTATATTTGGAATAGAAATATCAAATATTTGGTACGGCAGTAAAGCCGTTTCACTGCATTGCATTGATTTCTTATTGACTTGAACGGCCAATATATAGTTAAACATAATTGGTTCAGCGTTGCAAAATTGCTTTTCATGAGAGAGAAAGGATGAAGAAATAGCCGGAACCTGATTTACGCTAAATTAATGGACATGAATTAAGTGCGATTTACTCAATCAAGGGAAAAAAGGGCACACATGTGTCTAGTAAGAAATTCTACATTTCACTTTCCAATACCGAGGGGTACGTTGAGCTAACCACACACACATAACACAAACATGCCATTTTCACCGGGCCTTGGATCGAGTTGGCTGGACATGCTTCACCTACCACCCCCAGATAATGTGTTCAAATCAGGAGTGGTTGAATTCCAGCTGCCCCCGGAGCAAAAGGTCAGAGGCGACACCAAGTGGCCCTGTTGCGGATCACAATTTTTTTGCAGGGTTCCAGACGTATCCTTACATGCCAAGGGATTAGCCGGAGCCAGTGAGGACAGCGACCAGAGCTGGAGGAGGATCGATCGGCGGAGGGTGATCTGTTATGTTCCGTGACCAGGAGTGACTCCGTGTCGCATGATTAGGGGAAGGATATGAACCGGGAGTGATCCGTGGCGCTGAAGCTGCGCCGGTTAGCTGGTCACGGAGCTGGGTTCGAACACTGTTCCTCTTTTCGGCAAGTTTCCAAAGGGGGAGAAGGATGCCTGACCCAACTCTCCTCTTGCTTTTTCTTGCACTAGGGTAGACGTAGAAAATTGGCCATGATGATATTATTCTACATACCGTATATATGTTCTCTCACTGCTCCACATTCATGGATCATATTGCCAAGTCCAAACCCGGCATCAATCCTAGAATTGGATTCGAGAGAGGGTAATCGGCAAAGCACCAGATTTTCCCTGTGTGCACCAAAGCTATGTACAAAAACCAAGCACAGATCCGATAAACGTGAAGCTCATGTATTCATCAACACATCCCGGCATCTGTTCATGCCAACCAAGCAAGTCGCCACCAGTTCATCATGTACACGCGCTTCACTCAGGTTCTTGTTTGGCTGCCTTCATATTATATATACGTGTGGCTCTGCGGCCAGTCCCACCGTAGAGAGCAGATCAGACACCTGTTAGCTTCTCGCTTTCTCCAATAGTCAGACGAACACCAGATGAACATCTCAAACGTGCAGGAGTTGGCGTAGAACGATTAAGCATTCAGTAGGTATTCCTTAAACAGCAGACGAGGTCACTTCATCCTTTGACTGTGATATGGTCCTTTATAAATTCCAACTTGATGCAATCGAACATAGTTCAAATCCCTCATCTTCTATTTCCAACTTGATCCTGAGTATCTTGGTTGATAAATGCAGAAGATCCTCCTCAAGAGACCGAATGAATATATATATGCATCTAAACAAGCCGAGTGAAATATGCACTCGGACAACCAAGCTGAGCAACACATAAATTTGAGTGTCAACGTGCGTCTCATGAAGCTGCGTAGGTTTAGGGTCACGGAGCTAGGTTCGAACTGTTCCTCTTTTCAGCAAGCAAGTCCCCAAAGGGGGAGAACCGGAGATGGATGATGCCTGATTAACCTGAACAACCTCGCCTCTTGTTTTTTCTTGCACTAGGGTAGACGTAGAGAATTAGCTATGATATTATTCTACGTATACTCTCCAGATCCATGGATCATTGCCGGGTCCAAACCCAACAATAATGTTAAAATCCAATTCAGGAGAGGGGTAATTGGCAGAGCACCGGATTTCTCATGTGTGCATCTTTTGTATGTACAAAAACTGAGCACAGTTCCAAGAAGGTGAACGAATCGCCAGTTTTCTCCTATGTGCACTAGAGTTATGCACCGTAGCTTTTCTGCACCAAAAACTAGCCGCTGGACGAATGTATGTCACCCATATTTCTAGTCGTCACCGGAGTTCTTGCACTAGAGCTTTCATTTGTGCACCAGAGTTATAGCACTGGAGATTTCCATTGCTCTATTTTCAGCATGATGCAATTTCATATTTTGGGCGTAACATTTTGCTCTGAACTCTGATTTTGATTATATTAGACTTGTTGGAAAGCTAATGAAGAGCTATACAACCTTGGTTTGATATCATATCAAATTTGAGCTTATCCAAAATCATGAGACAAGACCAATTCATTCTTCTCTTTCTCCCAGCTTCGATGGCTTCGAGTTCTTTTGATGTTTTAAGCTTCTTGATGGTCTTTTAGCTAAGGTCTTCAAGGCTCCATTTGATCTTCATTTGAGGTGTTGATTTCAGTCTCCACCTTAGCCTAGCTAAATCTATCTGTCATGGTTCATAACCATGACTAGGGATTAGATGGTTGATGTGTGGGACTTCGGTGGTTAACACTCAAGTAACAAGAGGATTTATCTGGTTCGGGCATCGAGCCCTACGTCTTGCAGAGAGATTTCGTGTTGGAGTGTTCGAGAGTTTACAAATGGGGGTAGGAGAGCAAAGAGCTAGTTCTCTAATGGCAGGAAGAAAGAGTTGATCTAGGGTTTGATCCCCCTTATGGGGTCCCTTGCCCCTGCCTTGTATGTTCGGAGAGCAAGGGGAGTACAAAAAGTAGTTTTAGGTCCTTCTTGGCTGTCACACCTGGTTTTAACGACAAAACCAAAATGCACATCACATGTATGCCATGGTTAGTTTATTCATACATGCCACGACTATATATTAATACATTGCAGTGTTGATTACAGAAGCGATAACTTATTACAAAATGACCAGAGCATCTAAAAGAAAATACATTAGAGTTCTAGTGAAGCAGGTTCTCCATCCCCGCAGGCAGCTGATCAGGGGTACACTAGCCTAGCATCAACACGGTCTTTAGGAAAAACTCCATCTTCTAGTTTGAAGAGCTAGGTGGGGTAGCAAATAAAGGGGACAAACAAAAGGGTTAGTACGTTAAAATGTACTATGTAAGTGTAGGAAAGTATGACATGAGACTTAACGCACGGAAAAACTTATGAGATTTGACACCAGCGCTTAAGCGACAAATCCTAATTTACCTTAAACCCTTAGCACCTATTTACTAGGTGAAACCATCATCTCCTCAGAGAACCAAACCATCTCCAGCACTTGGATTCCATCAATGTTCTCATTTCAACCAACCCAAAGGGTCCACCCATATGTATTAGTCCTCACAAAACAGTAAAACATGCATACAAGCAATCTTCCATGACCCATGTCACCATGAGACTAATACCCATACAGGGATCCCCACAAAGATCTACTAATCATGAAGAAGTCTAGGCCGCTCTTGACCATGAACACGGCTGATATATAAGTTTTATGCTCTGCAAAGGTTACACATTTTTACACCTAGTCATGTTTCCCCATCACGCTAAACACTGCCTAGGTATTCAGTGGGATCACTATTGATGGTAAAATGTCATAGTTTTATACTTGAAAAACATCATCAACATATCTTGGATTAAAAGGAAATGAGCATGTTTTATTAAAAACAATTTTCACATGTACATGGAGTATTTCTCTATAGGACATAAGAAAAAGGAGAAGCCGGGGCCAGTGAGCCCATTCTAGGGGGTTGACCGACCACCCTAGTGGGCCCATTGCCCCAATCTTGTGTGGATCCAAGGAACACACTTTCAAGTGATTTCCAACTATTGGATGAAAAGTGTGTTTTATATGGATGGCTCATATTCATCCCACGAGGATTGTAAGCCCCACATCATATATCTGAATTATCCAAGTGGCCCCACTATTGTTAAATATTAATGCACACAGAATAATCCGCAAACGCACGGATATTATACCGAGGTAGCACTTCACCGGAAGTATCCCAGTTTTATATCGAACTCAAGGAAACGTGTGTGAGAATAACTAAATCTAACTTAACTCAACTTCACAATCAAGGCTACATAATAAGAGCGTAGAGGAGTTCGCTAAAGTCTTCTAGTTCTAACTTCGGTAAGCTTTGTCTTCTATTGTTTAATTCTGGGAAATTACTAGAGAAAACACATGCAAAGTATGTTTTCTATAGCAACAAGGTCCTGCTAGGCCTACTAACGGAAGGTGGACTACAAAGGATTCAACGAGGCTATAAGAGTCACCCTCGCGAGCTACCACCGATCCAAAAAGTAGGGTACATCCATGAGTAACCATGTCTAAGCACCACGCTTATACTATGAATCAGATACAGTACAATCCTAGACCGTCAATACAGCATGTGCAACAGCCAGCGGGGCAGAATCAGAACCAGATGATCAATTTCGGCACATCAGGCCACATACCGTCGTTGGCTCAAAAAATAGCACCATCGATTCAAAGGATCCGTAGAGATATAGATCCTTATGTCTACAATCAGAGACTTCAAGCAGCAAGCCAGCAGAAGAACCAGCAGATTGAGATTCCACAAGGGTATCACTATGGCACAGATTATAACACTCTCCACATGATGCCAAATCCAGGATATCAGGGCACGCGGGATTTCAATCCACAGATGGGTCAGCAAGTACCGAGAAATCCAAATCCGCAAGCTGATGAGTTGTTGCTGAAGGTGACCGAGATGATGAAAAATCAGTTCGGCCTGAAGCCAAAAGGGCTGACCT